TACACGAGGTTAGTACCTGGAAGGAAACTCAGGGGTGACACTCACCACGCATCCACCTTCACACGAGTAGTAGTCTAGAGTAGTTATTTCAGGGTGACACTCACCACGTACACCTTCTCACGAGTAGTAGTCTGAGTAGCAGCTCAGGTTGACACTCACCACCAACCACCTTCACACAGGTAGTACTGAGTAGGCAGTTCAGGTGACACTCACCACACACCACCTCACACATAGTAAGTCTGAGTAGCAGCTCAAGGGTGACAAACTCACCGCGTACCACCTTCACACGAGGTAGTAGCTGAGACAGGCAGCTCAGGGGTGACAACATCAACCACGGTACCACCTTCAACAGGTAGTAGTCTGAAGGCAGCTCAGGGGACACTCATCCAGTACCACATTCACACGAGTATTAGTCTGAGAAGGCAGCGCAGGGGTGACACTCACCACGTACCACCTTCACACGAGGAGTAGTCTGAGAAGGCAGCTCAGGGTGACATCACACGTACCACCTTCACACGAGGTAGATAAGTCTGGAGAAGGCAGCTAGAGTGGACACTCACCACGTACACTTCACACGAGTGTAGTTAGAAGGCGAGCTCAGGGTGCACACTCACCACGTACCCACCCTTCACACAGGTAGTATCTGAGAAGCAGCTCAGGAGTGACACCACACACGTACCCACCTCACACAGAGGTAGTAGTCGAGAAGGCAGCTCAGGGTGACACTCACCACTGCAACACAACCTTCAACGAGGTCTAGTAGTCTGAGAAGCAGCTCAGGGTGCACTCACCACGTACCACCTCACATAGGTAGTAGTCTAGAAGGCACTCAGGTGTGCACTCACCACGTACACCACCTTCACGCGAGTAGTATCTTAGAAGAAGCTCAGGGTGACACGACCACCTCACACAATAGTCTGAGAAGCACTCAGGTGAAACACCACACCACCACCTTCACACTAGTATATCTGAGAAGGCATCTCAGGGTGACACACACCACGCACCACTATAACTACAGAAGGTAGTAGTCCTTGTAAGGAGCTTCAGGGTGACACACCACGCACCACCTTCACGAAGTTAGTAGTCTGAGAAGAAGCTCAGGTGACACACACCACGTACCACTTCCAACGAGGTAGTAGTTTTTTGAGTAAGAGCTCAGGGTGACAACACACCTTCACGACAAGCTATATGTCTGAGAAGGCACTCAGGTGACACACACCACGCACCACCTTCACACAAGGAGTAGTCTGATAAGGCAGCTCAGGTGTAGAATCCACTATTAAGAGGAGTATGTCTAAAACAGTAAGGGGACCACTTTTCCCACCTTAATAATAATCCAGGTAAGTATACTAAATTTTTTTTTCCCTAATGAAATTTTAAAAACAAAGTTTTAAAATTTTAAAAAATTTTTGGTTTTTTTTTCAAAATTTAAAATTTTTCTGGGGTGTAGTAGATAAGGTGAACAGAGACAGTTTGTTTCCAGAGAGGGGGGACAGAAACAAGGGGCACAATTTGAAGTTGAAGACTCAGATCGAGTCAAAGGGACGTTATTAAGTATTTCTTCAGTCATATAGTTGTCAGAAGTGGAATACACAAGTACGTATACAGAAACACACACCACAACAGTAGATAAACCTCATGGAGCAATGACTAGAGACCCCTGAACCACAAATAGGCGGGGCCCAAAATGAGCTTGAGTCCACGTTTTGCCAATCACAATTAATATCAAACAACACATCAAGCCATACCATAACAGCATAACATATCAAGATACATATGCAACCACAAATAGCTGGTACAATATTCCGAAGTGCCGTAATCAGTGAAAAAATATAAACGTTGCAGAAGCGTGATATCGTTCCAGCGATACTTTATCAAACCATAACGGAAGTTTTCGTAGTGCCGCCAATAGTGTAAAAATATAAACCCGTTTCTGCAACAGGTGATTCTTCACTAATTGATGCGTTTTTACAAACCGTGAACGAATTTTACGTACTCTGCCATAACGGTAAATAATCGTCGTTGTTGCACAGTTATTTTTTCACTATTATGTCTAGAGAACCCGTTATAACGTTTTTAATTCGAATCTGAACTTTGTTCATTTATTATAGAAATAATCTCAAGAGATATCGATAATGCTTTGTAATTGTATTGCGTGACGTAGTTTTTATATATAATGAAGAGGTAATCGGAGTAAGCTGGAATGTAGTGGTGTGGGGGTGCAGCTAGGAGTGTAGTGGTGTGGGGGTGCAGCTAGGAGTGTAGTGGTGTGGGGATGCAGCTAGGAGTGTAGTGGTGTGGGGATGCAGCTAGGAGTGTAGTGGTGTGGGGGTGCAGCTAGGAGTGTAGTGGTGTGGGGGTGCAGCTGGGAGTGTAGTGGTGTGGGGGTGCAGCTAGGAGTGTAGTGGTGTGGGGTGCAGCTAGAGTGTAGGTTGGGGGAGCTAGAGTGTAGTGGTGTGGGGGTGCAGCTAGGAGTGTAGTGGTGTGGGGGTGCAGCTAGGAGTGTAGTGGTGTGGGGGTGCAGCTAGGAGTGTATGGTTGGGGGTGAGCTAGGAGTGTAGTGGTGGGGGTGCAGCTAGGAGTTTTAGTGGTGTGGGGGTGCAGCTAGGAGTGTAGTGGTGTGGGGGTGCAGCTAGGAGTGTAGTGGTGGGGGTGCAGCTAGGAGTGTAGTGGTGTGGGTGGGGGCAGTTAGGATGTAGTGGTCGTGGGTGTTGCAGCTAGGAGTGTAGTGGCGTGGGTGGTTGCAGCTAGGAGTGTAGTGGTTGGGTGTTGCAGCTATGGAGTGTAGTGGCGTGGGTGTTGCAGCTAGGAGTGTAGTGGCGTGGGTGTTGCAGCTAGGAGTGTAGTGGCGTGGGTGTTGCAGCTAGGAGTGTAGTGGCGTGGGTGTGCAGCTAGGATTGTAGTGGCGTGGGTGTTGCAGCTAGGATGTAGTGGCGTGGGTGTGCAGCTAGGATTGTAGTGGCGTGGGTGTTGCAGCTAGGAGTGTAGTGGCGTGGGTGTTGCAGCTAGGAGTGTAGTGGCGTTGGTGTTGCAGCTAGGATGTAGTGGCGTGGGTGTTGCAGCTAGGAGTGTAGTGGCGTGGGTTTTGGGCAGCTAGGAGTGTAGTGGCGTGGGTGTTGCAGCTAGGAGTGTAGTGGCGTGGGTGGTGCAGCTAGGATTGTAGTGGCGTGGGTGTTGCAGCTAGGAGTGTAGTGGCGTGGGTGTTGCAGCTAGGAGTGTAGTGGCGTGGGTGGTGCAGCTAGGATTGTAGTGGCGTGGGTGGTGCAGCTAGGAGTGTAGTGGCGTGGGTGGTTGCAGCTAGGATTGTAGTGGCGTGGGTGTTGCAGCTAGGAGTGTAGTGGCGTGGGTGTTGCAGCTAGGAGTGTAGTGGCGTGGGTGTTGCAGCTAGGAGTGTAGTGGCGTGGGTGTTGCAGCTAGGAGTGTAGTGGCGTTGGTGGTGCAGCTAGGATTGGTTGTGGGTAGTAGTTTCATAATAATAATAATAATAATAATAATAATAATAATAATAATAATAATAATAATAATAATAATAATAATTAATTATTATTATTATTATTATTATTATTATTATTATTATTATTATTATTATTATTAATATTATTATTATTATTATTATTATTATTATTATTATCTATTTCAACAAGCACATGATACAATTTACACAGACCTAATTGACATCATAATTGACATCAATAATTGACATCAATAACACACAATATGAAAGGCAGTAGTGATGTTCACTTGGAAAGGAAGTAATTGTCTTCACAGGTCTCTAGTGGGTGTTGAGATGCAGCTCTTGAGCTTACAGTTCCTGTGATTCATTTAAGTTCTGAACAATAGCTCAAGGAATGCAGGAACTGGGAAAACCAGAGATGATACTTCTCTCTGTCTTATAGTGACCGAAAAATATATATTTACGTATTGTATTTACATTATATCTGTTTTCGTATCTGAATTCCATATATAATTTGCTGAAGAAAATTTTATATTATAAAAAGTACATATCTAACTTATGAGTATAACTTTGTATATAATTGAAGAGAATTATCGATTCCTTCACATCAGAAACGCATTAGGAAGGTGACAATATACACAAGAAGCTTTTCCAGTGACATATATCTATGTTGAGTTTCAGTTGTAATGTTGTTGTCGCTGATAAAATAATTTATAAGTCAAATATGGTCATTAGAGCTGTTCGGAAACGACAATTTCAGGATCAGATACAACAAAGCTGATTTCCAGACATCCCTTAACAGACGCAGAATGTTGTTCACTCTGTGTTCCTGGAATTTACCTGGAGAGTTTACCTGGAGAGAGTTTCGGGGGTCAACGCCCCCGCGGCCCGGTCTGTGACCAGGACTCCTTAGGTCAGTGTCCCAGGATGCGACCCACACCAGTCGACTAACACCCAGGTACCCATTTTACTGATGGGGAACATAGACAACAGGTGGAAAGAAACACGTCCAATGTTTCTACTCTGGCTGGGAATCGAACCCAAGCCCTCACCGTGTGAAGCGTGAAACAATATCCTAGAGCACCTTGTATCTGGTTTATCAGAAGGAAACATGACTCATTGGGTACGATTGATATGTTTGTGTTGACGGTGGCGAGAGCACTCGCATTGCCGAACATAGATTGTAAACATCGTCCACCTTCTCTGCAACATCCCCCACTACCACACCCACATAAATACAAACTCAGTTGTGCGAGCCTCCTTCTCACCAACCAGCATTCATTCAGCTGTCTATACTTACCTCGTATTTCCAGGAAACAATTAAGGCACGACATTTTTAGTACCAGCTGTTACAAAAAAAAAAATAAATAAAACTCTCCGAGTGTTTTCAGTACACGACAGACTACACCCATTTCACTATGCTCCATAATGTAAATTAATGTTATATGTGGTCCAACAGTGGAAACTGGTGCCTGTTAAAATAGAGTATTCTTCCCCGCTCATGTGGCGAGCCGCCTGCATAACACATAATTAATCAAGGACGTACCTTGTGCTGTGATGTTTCAGTTGTAGTGGTTGATGCTTCGCTTGGAGTCCTTGAAGTGTTTGTTTTGGTAAAACCTGTTTCGTGGGCTCGCTGGAAAGATAACGAGGGACGTAGGGTTTCCGTAGTGATGTCAGCTTGTTGAGGTGGAGAGAGTGGTGTCGGTGAGTATATGGGTGCTGAGGTGGGCGTGCAAACAACGGGCGTGTGAAACAGAATACGAGGGTGTCGTTTGGCATCGATCCGCTGCCCACACCCAAACACTCTGCAATATAGAAACAAAAATCAGCCAGAAATTCTCTGGAACAAAAGAAAAACACACAACGCACCGTTCCCATCCGGATCCTTGTATTAATGCAAACCCGCTAGTTAATTCAGGTAATTTATACATAGTGAGGCAGTGTAAGTATATAATTACATTGCGCTTGACATAATTCTCTGAAGCCACGCCAATGTGGCAATAGTCGGTGTAGCTGGAGGGGCATCGCGTGCCTGTGATCATTATTACATCAAGAACACGTACAATGGTTGCCATTATCTTGACGTTCAACAGGACGTTCACATCAAAGTTTTTTTTTTGTGCACTCTAGGGTGAGTTGAATAATGATGAAATATTGCAGCCACTGTGAAGCTGTTTTCAGAATTAATAATTTTATTTTTTTTAAAATACTCGAAAAAAAAAATTGTGGTGGTTACACGATTCGAGAAAAGATATCCCAGTGTCCTATAACCCCAGCTCTTTCTACTAAGCAAATATAATAATGGGGTGTGCGGCGTAAGCCCTCATCGCAGTTAAAATTTAGAACAGAAGATTTAAAGCCAACCAGAACAGACTCGCAAATGATCACATAGAAACATCCAAATTCCTTAAAAAATTGCAGATTGGCATTTACCTACACAGCCAAAAAAACAAATAGATCCTTCCACTAAGTTACAGCAGCAAAGGAAGTTAAAAGCCAATAATAAGAGGCAATCTGTAGTACTCTCACAGAGACTAATTTCCCCAAAACAAATACTGTTTACAGAATAAATTATCAAGTTGATGATTTACAGCCGCTCGGATGAGACAATCTCTAATGACTGTATGAAGACCAGTTATCAATTTTCCAAATTTCATTAACGAAATAGACAAATTGGCATCTAAATTGCCCCAAAAAACCCAGATATTAAACTGAGAGAATTAAATTAGCGTTAAATATTCGAAGACAGTCAGACGAAACCTCTCCAGTTATTGCACGGTAACTAATTTGTGTAATAAAACTAATAACTTAAAATGAACACAACTCACAACATCGTGGCTGCAACAAATCACAACCCACAACACCGTGGCTGCAACAACTCACAACCCACAACACCGTGGCTGCAACAAATCACAACCCACAACACCGTGGCTGCAACAAATCACAACCCACAACATCCTGGCTGCAGCAACTCACAACCCACAGCATCTTGGCTGCAACAACTCACAACCCACAACACCGTTGCTGCAACAACTCACAACCCACAACACCGTGGCTGCAACAACTCACAACCCACAACACCGTGGCTGCAACAAATCACAACCCACAACATCCTGGCTGCAGCAACTCACAACCCACAACATCGTGACTGCAACAACTCACAATTAGTAATAATGGTACAATTACCGACAAAATGTAAAATAAATGGACACATGCGAATAGTGGGACATTTGATTGTGGCAACTTAAAATAACACAGCCCAAAGTCAGTGCAAAGTTTCCTGTGAGACGAAGACACCAGCACTAATATTTCGGCGTCAGCCAAACTTTGCCAACACCAATTATGTCACGGAATCCATTAGTACTAAGTTTTATTGCCTATTTTAGTAAATTATCAAATCTGTGTCTACTCTCAAAATGTATCGTAATTCATAAAAGAGATATCAGGATGTACCATTGTTTTAAGTTTAAAATCCATGAAAAAAAATGTTAAATTTTTTATCTCAAGTTAAGATACAGAAGCTAAAACTGAGATTTGTACATGAAGTCTGCGTGTCCAAAAATTTCATGAAAATTCTTCTAATTATTGCTCAGCAGCACATAAAAATTAATTCTAATCAGAATTGGCATTCTCAAGGTTAGGTTATATTCGTCAGGAAACAGGACAATTGTTTCCCTACTCGGTTCTTAGTCATATAATGACCCACCACGAGAAATAAACAATAGACAATAAACCACAGAGAGGAGAAACAAACAATAGACAATAAACCACAGAGAGGAGAAACCAACAATAGACAATAAACCACAGAAAGGAGAAAGAAACGTATGACGACATTCTGATCCAACTTTCACCATTAACCAGCTAGTTAATAGTCCAAGTCGGATCAAAATCTCATAAATTTCTTTATATGCGAGGAATTTGTACACAATTCTTTACTTTCCTCATGAATCAATAAAACGTGATACGGACGTGATTTGTCCACAATTCACAGAATTCGTTTGTCAGTAATAGTATATTTCAAACTACAATCACAAAATTCAAATATTTTTTTAAAGAAACGGGAGTAAGTTCGAGAACTGAAGCAAATTTTGTAAACTGTCAACTACAGTTAAGAGTCCAAATCTTCTTCTAAGATTCATTAGTTATGAAGGAATGGAAGCAATCAGATGAACCAATCACAAATTTCTAGATAAAAAGTCATTAATATATTTCTGTAAACTTTTGAATAAAATTATTACATAAATCAATAATTTAATTTTTGTTATTTCCATATAATTGTTGCATAAAAAATCAATTATTTCATTTCGGTAATTGCTTCTATAAAATTATTGCATCAAAATCAGTAATTTATATAATTCTTCAGTAAAACTGGTAATTTGGCTCACGAATTCGTAATATAAAGATCACAAACTAATACCGGAACGGGTGGGGCTTGAACCCATGGCGACTGAGTCGAAAAATTCACAGACCACTTGAGAGGTTAACGCACTGGCCTGTGAGCTTCAGGAATCACTTGACATGGTTCGAGTCCCACCTGTTTCGTGATTTGGCAACTTGGCTTCTACACTGCTAAAGATACATAAAAAATATCTACGATTAAAATACACGAGGGTTTAACGCTTGAAACAATCACAAAAAGGAGCAATAAAGAAAGGCAGAGTGTAATATAAAGCTGTTCTTTATTGATAAAGTTTTTCCCAGGCAGTGGTTTTTTCAAGTCGTGAAAATCAATTTATTTAACTTAACTGTCAATTCAAAATTTATACAGCCTAAACTGACCACAAATCAATTCTTGATCATCGCTGAAAAGTCTGAAACCGATTATGGAGGCATTTTTCAGCAATGACTGAAATGAAATCGGCAAATTAATACCAACTCTAATAACAATTCCACCTGGCTAAGGATCTTCCGAGGCTTGTTGAAGTTATCCCAGCGTAACCAAATCTGGGAACAGTCTATATCAAATTAACCAGAGGACACCAACACACGCCAGGATTTGCATAAACTTTTTTCTTGCATTACACCGCCGGTGAAAAATACGAGTACATAACGTATTTTCAAGTTATAAGAGAAAAACTTTAAGGAGGACAAAAATCAGCCAACCACTTGAAGTTCCCTCATCGGGGATACCTAATTAAATTATAACTCATTATCGTAAGTTATTCTGAGAGTATAAAAACAATATTGATATATTTCCAGAGGAAAAAATCTCATGATAACAATCTGAGTATCGTATATGATACATAAAATATTATAGTTATTAATGACGATAGCATTTTCGACTTAACCAAATTTGGTAAACGTAGTGTGTATCAATTAAACCGGGCACACTCCCCCACAGGGGGCCGGTTGATTGCGGTGAGACATTTTCGACCTTTCCTTACACCTTGCCGGTGAATTCACAGAGCAATAGACGTGTCATGTTTCAGACAGTATAAGGAAATAAACTAAGTAGACAAATCACATCATTGACGACCTGACATACTTTTGAAGTTAAATTTCCTTGGGCTAACATGAATCCGGGTAAAAATCAACAAATCTATAATCATTATCTTAAGATCTGAGTGTTATCACAGTAAGAAAAAGTTATGTGATGCAGCAATCATTAAGAACCAGTAACACGTGGCCATGATTTGCATAGAACATTGGTTTCCATTACACCTGGTGTTGATTACAGTCATAATATTGTATCACTATATTAGTAGAGAATTGGTTACATTGGGGACAAATACACCAAAACTAAGTTTCATCGTGGATACTATATTAATTGTTATCATTACTGTTATAATAAACTAAAAATTTATATCCATCAGTGTTTACTCACTGTATAAAAAAGTTATGATGATCATCAATGTATTAATGACAGTAATGTTGTTCATAATGTATAATACGAAAGTTATGTGTTCATCACTGTATTAAGAAAGTTATGTGTTATCACTAGTAAAAAGTTATGATCACAATGTATTAATGAAAGTTAATGTGTTCCATAACTGTATATAGAAAGTTACTGTGTTCATTGTATAATGAAAGTTATATTGTTCATACTGTATAATAAAGTTATGTGTTTCATCACTGTATAATGAAAGTTATGATGTTTCCATCACTGTATAATGAAAGTTATGTGTTTCATCACTGTATAATAGAAAGTTATGATGTTCCTCACTGTATAATGAAAGTTATGATGTTCCATCACTGTATAATGAAAGTTATGATTGTTTCCATCACTGTATAATGAAAGTTATGTTGTTTCATCACTGTATAATGAAAGTTATGATGTTCCATCACTGTATAATGAAAGTTATGATGTTCCATCACTGTATAATGAAAGTTATGTTGTTCCATCACTGTATAATGAAAGTTATGTTGTTCCATCACTGTATAATGAAAGTTATGTTGTTTCCATCACTGTATAATGAAAGTTATGTTGTTCCATCACTGTATAATGAAAGTTATGTTGTTTCATCACTGTATAATGAAAGTTATGTTGTTCCATCACTGTATAATGAAAGTTATGTTGTTTCATCACTGTATAATGAAAGTTATGATTGTTCCATCACTGTATAATGAAAGTTATGTGTTCCATCACTGTATAATGAAAGTTATGTTGTTCATCACTGTATAATGAAAGTTATGATGTTCATCACTGTATAATGAAAGTTATGATGTTCTCATCACTGTATAATGAAAGTTATGTTGTTCCATCACTGTATAATGAAAGTTATGTGTTCCATCACTGTATAATGAAAGTTATGTGTTCCATCACTGTATAATGAAAGTTATGATGTTCCATCACTGTATAATGAAA